AGCCTCGATCTGGAAATGCAGGGTCCGCAGTAAAATCCATTAAAAACCCAAGAAGCTTGGGTCTCTCTCCAAAGAGCCTAAAGGCTGTTTAGATGTATGAGGGTGATCAAAAGAGAAAGGGGAGGAAGGAACACAGCTTTGAAGTTAATTTTATTGTGGAGTGGTATGAAAAAGATGAATCCTGGTTTACCAGTTTTCAGTTTATTAAAAAATTTATTTTAGAGAGAGGATGCCATGAAAGCTTCCTTATATAAAGATGTATTAGTTATTTAGGAAAAGCTTGAATTCTAAATATAGGAAAAAACTGAGCTTATGGGATGTGGGGTTAGACAGTTGCTATTATAATAAGTTGTCTAGTCGCTTAATGGTTGAATCTCAACATTAATTTTTGGATTTTTCCTGGAGGCATTTATCCAAATAACTCTCATGTTTTTAAACTGGGAAAATGATTTCTAAAGGGTTGATTTAGATTTGTTAGGTGATTAAGCACAGAAGATTTTTAGTTAAATTCCATGGCAGTGGTTTTTCTACTCTTTTTATTTTTTAAGCTAAAATTGCACATATACATATAAAAAGTAATAATTTCCAATTCACACTGCAGAAGATAATTGCATGTTTTTTTAAAGTAATGTCTCTCTTCAAACAGTGCCTATAGATGGTAATGACTTTACTAACAGGCAAGCTATTACTTCCTGGAAAAGCCAAATCTTAAAACTGATGTGCCAATGACATCTACATACCGAGTGTGTTTTGATGCCAAGCACAGTGTCGCTGTGTGCGATTTAATTTTTTTTTTTCTTTGCATTACCCTTGTAGAACTGTGGAAACAATAAAACCAGCGTTCCCTCTAGTGGCCACTAAGAGCACGTTTCGTGGGACACAAAGCTTGCAGAGAACTCCAAATACGGAACCATTTCTATTTAAATTGTAATAGTTAACTGGTTTTTGGTTTTTGTTTGGTTTGGGGTTTTTTTTTTTTCCTCGCACAACTATGTTAGCGTGCCTGAAAGTCAGGACTGTTGTAGATACCAAATTACAGCAAAATCTCTGACACAGGATTTAGGACACATTCACATGATTGGGATGATGTTGAAAATAGGTTAAGGAGGAAATGCTTTTTTTGGAGAAATCCCAACAGTTGCAAAATCTTGAAAACTCTCCCTCGGTTTGTAAAATCCTGTTGATTATTTCTGAATTGTGTGTGTATTTGCTTTGTATCGGATCATGGATAGTAGGTAATGTATTTTATGACGAGGATTTGGCCTCAGGAGTCCATTCTTCCCCCTGCAGTCTCCCAGAACTACTGCGTTAAGTGGGCAAATCCTGTAGTAGCTGTGGTCTCATTTCTCTGTCAGTAAAACAGAAGTCACGTCGAACCAAACCAGGTTGTTATTTTGGCAATAAATGCACGGGAATGTCTGGGAGACACCGATGGACTGATAAACCTGTGTGGATTTTTTTAAAAAAACCAAACCTATTTACTTCTTCCCCACCAACTTGTACTTCGGACCTAGGCTACCAGCGAAGTCTTTTTGAAGAGACGAAGTGAGGGACGAGGCCGGAGCGGAGACCGACGGCCGCTGCTGACTCATCCTCTGACCTTTACCGACTTCCTTTACCCTCTGCACGCCGCACTCTTTATTTGGCGAAATGCGAGCGGGGCCCGTTGCGTAACAGCGTTTCGGAGCGCTAATTAACGGCGGTAACTCACGAGAGTTACCGGGGATGGTGACAGGCGGGCCCGCTCACCCTCTCCGCGCCAGCGCCCCGCCGCGGAGGCCGCCGCCTTCGGGGGGCCCGCGCCTCGCCCGGCCCGGCGGAGCTGCCGCAGGCAGAAGGGCCCTCGCGCCGCAGGAGCCCGGGGAGGCCGCTCCTGCCCTGCCTCCCCCGCGGCAGCAGCAGGCCAGGCAGCGCCTCTCCGCCCTCGGCTTTGCTGCGGGGGGGGGGGGGGGCCCGGGGCCTGGCTGGCGGGCGGCCTCGGCGCAGGCCCCGGCGGCCGGCCGCGGGTACACGTGTCCCTGTGACTCTTGTTTACTATCGGCCGAGCGCCGCGCGGGGCATCCTGGGGGCTGTCGTCTTATCGCGCCCAAGCTGGCGGGCGGCGGCGGCGGCGGAGACTACAGCTCCCAGAGTACCTCGCAGCGAGCCGGCGGAGGGATTGGCCAATCGGAGCGCCGTCTGGGGCTGATTGATGTGCAGCGCGGTGCAATCCGCTGCGCAGGAGAGTCAAAACATGTCCGCCCTCCGGGCGGATTCCTGATAGGCAGGCCAGGCAGCCAATAGGAGGCGGCTGCGGCTTGAGCAACGCCGTCTTCGACCAGTCGGCGACCGAGCACCGCCAGGGTGTGGGGGGGCTCGGTGGTGGGGGGGGGGGGGGGGGGGGGGAGCCGAGGGGAATTTGGTAATGGCGACGGGTTTGGTAAGTGCTACAAAGTTTGGAGCTGCGGCTTTTGGGGGGCTGCGAGGCCCCGGCGGGGGACGGACGGGGTCCGCCGGGCCGGAGGGCAGCGGCCGCGGGCCGAGCTGAGCCGAGGAGGCCGCCGGGTCCTGGCTTTCGGCGGCGGCTGGAGCCCGGGCATTGTTTAGTGGTCGCCTTTCCTCAGCAGCCCGGCGGAGCCGCCGCCCTGCCGGGCCAAAACCGCGGGGTGCGCGGGGGCGCCGGCCTCCCTTGGGGCCCTTCAGCTGCAGCGCCAGACCGCGGAAGCGAGCGGCACAGAGCCGGTGTCCCCCCCCTTTTTTTTTCCCCGGGGAGCGCCCGCCTGCTCCGGTCTGTCAGAGCGAGGGCGCTCTGCCCCGCCGCAGGGAGCAGCGGGTGTCTGGGGGACGGGGCAGGGAACGGGGGCAACTTTGAGCCAGGCGAGCCCCGCGCCGGCACGGTTGGCGGCTCCGCCCGGGGGTAACGGCGGGCGGCGGGGTCGGGG